GTTTCTGTTTGACTGATTCTTGCTCTCTCATAGAGTCATTAGCTTACACTTGCCCCATTCTAGTTTTTAATGAGTTGTTCTATTAGATTTTGTACCTCCTTTTCCATTTGGCCCATTTTACTTTTTAAGAGGTCCTTCTCTTCAGTGAGTTTTTGTGCCTTATTTTCCATTTGTTCAATTCTACTTATTAAGGACTTGTTTTTTGCAGTTAATTTTTGTCCTTCCTTTTCCAAGCTATTGACTTTCTCTTGCATACCTCTCATTTCTTTTCCCAATTTTTTCTCTACTTCTCATATTTGACTTTTAAAATCCTTCTTGGGGGCAGCTAGATGGTGCAGTGGGTGGAGCACCAGCCCTGGAGTCAGGAGGACCTGAGTTCAAATCCAGCCTCAGGCACATAACACTTACTACCTATGTGACCCTGGCAAGTCATTTAAACCCATTGCCTAGGCAAAAAAAAAAAAAGTCCTTCTTGAGCTCTTCCAAGAAAGCCTTTTGGGCTTGAGATCAGTTCATATTCTCCTTTGAGGTTTTGGATGTGGGTATATTGACCATTTTATCCTCTTCTGAATTGTGTCTTGATCTTCCCTTTCCCTAAAATAAGAACCTATGGGCATTTTCCATTTCTGCTTTGTGTTCATGGCGTTTGCCTATTTCCTGACTTAAAAAAAAATGTTGAGTTCCCCTGCTGGAATGAAGAGGGCACTTACCCAAACTTCTTTTCCTGCTCACCTGGGCCTTGCACTTGAACGTTTGGCTTCTGCTGGTCTGGGCCTTGTACAGGGATGTTTTGTTGCCAAGGGATGTCTGTCAGCCTGGAGCTTTGCCTGGAGTTGTGCTTCCCAGAGTTGTGTTGAGGCACCGGTGATTTCACTGCTGGAGAACAGAACGCTGTTATATCTGGTGGTTTTCCAAGCTGATGTCTACCAGTTGTTCTGCCTGTATTGAGGCTCTGGGGGGATCCTGGTGTTGACATTTACTTGCTCCACCAGCCTGAGTCTCACGATCTCCCACTGGTGTGCTGAGGTGGGGTTTGCTGCTGGCTTGCTGGGATGCCTCCAGTCCTATACTGTTCCACCTCCCCCAGAGTGAGAAGAGCCTTTCCCATTAACTCCCCAAGCTTCCTGGGCTACAAGACTGCTGTGCCCTGTCATTTTTTTGGCCCAAGGTTTTTCCTGGATTGATATTTTCTGGGCTTTCAGAGGTCAGTGAGGGAGGGTGAGAATGACTTACTTCTTACTTTGCTGTCTTGGCTCCTGGAATCGGAACCACTCCCCATTTTTAAAATCTGCTTTTCCTGTAAGAACTAAAGAGGAAAACAGATAAGCTAAGTTTATTAAATTAATAACCTTAAATTATTGATAGCCTTCCTTAATATTGCTCCATTGTCTGTGATGGAGAATGAGGTACTTCAGGTTTGATATTTATTTTGCTTTGTTTTTTCTTACAGGTTGAAAATTATGTCTATATAAGTAAGAATTTTTTTCTTTTTTGGGAACTCAGAGAGCTTTACATGTTTCATAATCATTAATTAATTAATTCTCTAGATCTGCTATAATGGAAGAAAAAAAATGACCCACAGATAACTATGGAAGAAGAAGGGAAAAATATTGTTCAGTAGCAATAGAACTTGGTATTATAAAACAATTCGCATTAGTTAATACATTTCTTTTCAATATTATGACTTCAGATTGCATTCTGGTTTTTTTTAACCATTATTTCTCATCTCTCTGCCTGATAAGGTCATTAGAGAGCAAGGCTGCTATTAACTAATATAGATTGCCTTCTTCTGAAGATAACACCATTCATTTCACTACCTCTCTAAAGGGTATTAGTGTCCTCTGTTTTAAACATAAAAAAATAGAAGAGCAAAAAGGTTAAATAAGTTGTTCAAAGTCATATAATCAGGGGAAGAGCAAAAATTAGAACCCAGCTCTTCCTTCTTTCTACTATCTTATACATCTAGATTAGGAATTCACAAAAATATCACATTATGATAGGATAGAGAGGAGAATTCAATATATAGAAATGGCAGAGGCTTCCTGATGAATAATTTTTTCTTTGGTTCTTTGTATCCTTGGGACACAGCTGAGTTGTCTGATATAGTAGACACTTAATACATGCTTGTGGAATCCAAAACAACTCATTGTCTTTCCCCTAGTTTTAACCTCCACTAAAACCTTTGTAACCTTCACTCCTAGAGTTATCCTCAGCTCTTCACTGTCCCTCAGGCCCTTTATCCAATCACTTGCCAAGTCTTATTGAATCTACCTCTATAACATTTTTTTTTATCTGTCCCATTTGCACCACTCACAGGCAGTTTTCCTATATTAGACTGTCACTGCCTCTTAACTTTACTGTTACAGTAGTCTCTTATAACAAGTCTTGATCTTCTCTGTCTTTCTTCAGCCTGTCTTCCACATAGCTTCCAAATTGATATTCCTAAAGCACAAGTCTGACTGTTAATTCCCTGTTCCAATAGCTTCAGTGGCTCCCTATTTGCTCTAGCATAAAATTCAAATTCTTCTCTTTGACCATAAAATTCAAATTCTCCTGTTTGACATATAAGTCTCTTTTCAGTATTTCCAGCCTACCTTTCCAGGCTTAGAGAATTAAACCCTTTGATGCCCTCTCAAGTTCCAGCCAAACTGGAGCAAAGCCAGAGTACTTGTTATACGTTGTATACATTCACTGAGTGTTATGGGTTAGAAAGTACTTCAGTACCGTTTAGTCCAGCCCACATCTGGAAGAACTCCTCACTTATCGTTTAATTTCCTCATTTGTAAAAAGGGGATAATAGGCACCTACCTTACAACGTTGTGAGAATCAAAGGAGACAGCATATAAAATGTTCAGCAAACTTCAAAGTGCTATAGAAATGCAAGCTATTTATCATTGTTATTGTTATTGAGTAGTCCATGAATAGCCTTAATTGTTAGGAAGTTTTTCCTTTTATCAAACATGAATTTGCCTCTCTGCAATTGCTGCCCATGTGCCTTTGTATAGACTTTGTCTACTGCTTCCTCCTTACCACAGGCTATAGAGTTCATAGTTTCCTTCAAGTCTATTCATGTACCATCTCTTACAAGAGACTTTTCTTGATCCTCTAACTTGTTAACCCCACCCCTAAATTGTTTGCATTCACTTTGCCTGTATTTCGTGTTTGCTTACCTAAGGACATGTTTACCCCTATAGAACATAAGTCTCTTGAGGACAGAGACCGGTTTTGTCTTTTATCCCAAACACATAGCACAATGTCTGGCATACAGTAGGCACTTTTTGAATGCTTACTGAATTGAATCATACCTCCTCATATTTCTTGGTATGTAATGACACATATACAGAGGCTCCTGCTCCAAATTTTAAACATTTTTAGGTCTGAAAAGCACATTGTTAGGGAAAACATGATCTACCTTACCTATTCTTTTGTCCACTTTCCCCCTTAAATTGGCTTTGGAAGCTGAAGAAGAGATTTAGTGGCAAAGTTTATGTCTGATGATGGAAGAAGAGATTGACAGATAGTAACTGTTTTTGTCTACTTGACACTCATAGTTTCACACTAACAAGGGAAAAAAATTCAAGGCCTTGAGAGTGGGTATAAGCCTCTTTCCAGGAAGTTGAGATGGAATTAGTTGAATGATGGAGTGAAACTATAGTTTAGATAGAATTTCTTCTGTATTACGTCTTCTCATTTTCTCTGTCTCTGAACTCATAAGAAACCTCTACTACCCTGGGCAAGAATACAAAATGGTAGAATATGTTACTTTGTATCAATTTTCCAGTAGCTTCAAGTGATAAGTCATTGAGATTCCAGCAAGCAAAGTCCTTCAGGAGTAAAGAATATTCTTCATCTTTCTTTTCTTCTTATGTTGGCTAGGAAAATCAACCAGACAATATTTTGAATCTTCTAGAGATCCTTGAAGATTGACAGTGTTATTATGCATTGCAACACTATTGAAATAACTTCTTATATAGTTGTACCTAATTTTTGACTTGTTTAAATGAATAAAATTTTCTCATTTCTGAAGAACACCTTTGAATATAGTAAAACCATATTTGTTAAGCTAATAAAATAATTATTTTAATGTCTATCTGATGGAACTACTTAAAATATTTTAATTTTGTATTCTGGGACTCAAAAGAGAGATCTTTTTCTAACTTTAGCAATGACTTGGCCAGTAAGTCAGATATTTGCTGACTAAGGTACTTTCTGAGCTGTTTTAGTTTGGTGATTAATTTATATTGACTAATCTTTAGGTGAAATTATGTCAGTGTTAATGTCATTTATTCTGTCCATTTTTAAAAAAATACTTGCTTAATTAGGGTTCATTTGTTTTAATTGCATTCTACATTTTCTGCATTTTCTCCATCAAGGGTTGTGAAATACCGCACATGGACATTGATATCATATGGCACTGAAGAGAACAAAGACAGGAAAAACAGCCAGATTCGACCAACTTTATTTAGAGGAGATAGTTCTGGATGCAAGACAATTGTGAGGATACTGAGGGACTAATATGCAAGGTGTCAGAAAGAGGGAAAATTAACAAAAGCATGGGAAAAAATCTCGGACATTGTTAATGCAAAAAAAAGGTGACCAGTATATATGAAATCTTTATGAGAATCATCTGTGTACAAAGCAAGAGCCTTCTTGATGATAGTGTTAATAAAGAACAAGGCTTTCACAGATAGTATTCAATAGTGGCCATATCTTTGTTGTCTCATGTTTAACTGAAAGATACAGATGATATAAGATCCCATTGCTATTTATGTTTATGGATTACAATAGTAGGTAATCACAGGAGAGTTGTAAGGCTTAACTGATCTTGGAATATTTTCCCTTTACATCTCAAATAGGAGTTCAGAAGGTTTTTATTAACGAATTTTAGGTTGACAATTTAATTTGTAATTTTCTTCTTTTAGGTAGGCAATTGGGATTGTTTTAATCATCCTGATAAATGTTATTGATAAATTCAATTAGCTTTTTTTTCTTTCTGACAGGTTATGAGGTTCATGGGATAGAAAAAATACCAGAAAAAGGACCAGCACTTATTATTTTTTACCATGGGGCGATTCCTATAGATTATTACTACTTTATGGCTAGAATCTTTATCCATACAGGCAGAACCTGCCGAGTAGTAGCTGATCATTTTGTTTTTAAAGTCCCAGGTAAATTTTAACTGTAACTTTAGAATATTGAGTTTCAGAACGATAATGGTTTAATTATAGGTGAATTTCATGGTGTAATAAAGTTAGTAAGAGCACAGTTTAGGTTATTGTTTTACATCTTATCATAGGCTGAACAGCAAAAAGAAATAAGTTTTGGTAGTACAGTGGAGACACAGTTTAAAAACTTACTTTATCTCTGTAAAGGCCTATCTTATTTATTGATAGAGAAAATGTTGCTTCCCCTAAACAAATCTTGCTAGATTAATATTGCCACATTAAATGTGACTTTTGCTTTTGACTGTTTGAAGCTTAACATATTGGTTTACGTTGAATTAACACGAATATATTATTATCATCACTAATAATAATACATTTGTATAGCACTTTTCAAAAAAAATTGTAGCAACTGTGAGCTAGGTAGTAGTTCAAGTACAGTTATTCTCATTTTACAGATAAGAAAATAGGTTCAGGGGCAGCTAGGTAGTGCAGTGAATAGAGCACTGGCCCTGGATTCAGGAGGACCTGAGTTCAAATCCAGCCTCAGACACATAACACTTACTAGCTGTGTGACCCTGGGCAAGTCACTTGACCCTGTTTACCTCAGTTCTGTAAAATGAGCTGGAGAAGGAAATGGCAATCCACTCCATTGTCTTTGCCAAGAACACCCAAAAATGGGGTCATGGAGAGAAGGACACAACTGAAATGATTGAGCCACAACAAATATCCTCAACCTAGTACAGTGTTCTGATTATACTATAATGCATATGTTACATATTTTATAGTATTTTATATAAGTATGTATGTTACATACATGCACACACACACAAACATATATGATAAATGTTGATTGAATTGAGGTTTTTCATGATGTCCAGCTCCTTTTTCCACTAAACCACATTGCCCCTTATTTGAACTTAATAATTTTGTGGGCATAAAATTTATTCTAGTAGCTTTTTAATTCCTTACTTATTTTTTTTTCAGTTTAGAGACTGAACATTTAAAAAAATACTTCATTTTTGAGAAACTTATCTGTGTTTTTAACATAGCAGACAGTCATTTCTTTATGTTGTTAATTTCTTAGCCAGATATTCATTTATAGAATTGTATCCCATTATAGTTAAAGTTTCATTGCTGCTGGTTTGGAAATAACATTAAAACTTAGTTTGGGCCATTTTCTTTCCTTGATGGTATTCTGTGAAAAAATTATTTCAAAAAAATAATCATTTCCTGTTTGATCAAACTGATAGATTTCCTGCTCTTGGATTGAGTAATTAGTTTGGTATATCTGTTCATTAAGACATCACATCTCTTTAAATGGTTGTTTAAACAAATGACTTTGATCATAGTAGTGTAAAAGTCTTTGCTGAAGAAATTTGTTTTATTCTGACCCAATGTTTCTAGAGACAATTTCCTCTTGTAAAATGAGATAATTTCCAATGCCCTTTCCAATTACTTTTAAGTAGCCAAAATGAAAATGTTTGATATTCTTTACAATCTTAAAATAAAAAAAATCCCACAAACTAATAAATATAGTGTCAAATTAAATGCTGTCATAAACATATGTAAATATGTAAGTTGTTAAATAGGTCATATTTAAACATAAATTTCTTAAAGTTTATATTTCAACCTTTTTTGAGAAATTCATAAGTTTCTGAACTGGTAAATATATGAATTTAAATTACTGGCATTCTTAGGACAAACACTTATACACTTAAGAAACAAACCTTGTTTAGTTGTCCCTTATGAGATTGTATATGATTAAAAATGTATTAGCTTTCAGTTAATCAAGAACCATTAAACAGCTACTATGTATCAGGCACTGTCCTAGGTGCTAGTTATGCAGTGGCCCTCCTTCCCCCCTCCACAGACAAAATGCAGTAATCCTTGCCCTCAAGGAGTATATTTTCTATAGAGAGAAAGACACAAACGTGTGTATGTGTGTACGTAAAAGCATGTGGAGAATAAATATAAAACAAATATAAATAATAATAGATAACATTTTTGTAGTTCTTTTAAAGTTTGCAGAACACAACATATATAATCCTATTTGATCCATTCAGTAACCATGTGATAGAAGCTGTTCTCATTTTGTAGATGAGGAAACTGATGCTGAGAGAGATTAAATGACTTGATACATAGGTAGTAGGTACTTGAGGCAACATTTGAACTCAGGTCTTTCTGATTCCAAGTCTAGCATTCTATTTTTCTAGGCTACTAGATACTTAAGGAAGGAAGTAGTGCTTAAGCTGTATCTTGAAAGAAGCGAATGGTTTTGTGATGAAAGTGCATTTGAATCACAGGGTTTGGCCAGTGCAAAGTTAGGAAGTCAGAGGGGAGATGGGTGAAAGAGTACCATTTATTTGCATGGTTATCAGAAATTTTGCTAGTCTGCACAATTTCCCCCAATTTTTCCCATTTCCTAGCATTAAGGAAAGTATACATTTAATAAAAATGAGCTCTGGCCAACTATTTTCAATTTTTTATTAACATGTTTATTTACAACTCTCTGCTTTCAAGCTTTAACCAGATATAGTTGATGTGACTATAGTACAGTACTAGAACTTGAAAATTGGAGAGTTGATACTGGCCTAACTGCCTTGATTCCACCAGAATCCAGAATCAAGGTAGTGGTTCTAAATGTATCATTATTGGCTTTTCTTAGTCTGTTGTAGAATAAAATCATATTCAACAATTATAATTAACAGTAGATTTGTTGTTTCTTCTTGCTAGCATGGAAGCCTTTTCCCCCCCTTAGATATGTTTGAGAAAAACCTTCAGTTTACTGGTTTGAAAGCTTCTACCAATATATAGTTTATATATAAGTCTCAAGAACTTTGACTGGGTGAAGTTAAAAAAAAAGTACGGAATTATAGTGAATCTAATTTTACTATGTGGGGCTTCTTTTTTTGAGAGCTGAAACAAGAAGTACTTCTGATCTAGTTTAATTCTGTTTTGACAGGGTTTAGTCTGTTGCTTGATGTATTTTGTGCTCTACATGGACCAAGGGAAAAATGTGTTGAAGTACTGAAGAGTGGCCATTTGTTAGCTATTTCACCAGGTGGAGTTCGAGAAGCTCTTCTTAGTGATGAGACCTACAGCATAATTTGGGGTGATCGTAAAGGCTTTGCCCAGGTTGCTATAGATGCAAAAGTGGTGAGTTGTGTTTACAGAATTTATTATTAAAGTGAAATTTTGTTGACTTTAAGTAGTTACAATTTTTTAGTACAACAATCTAAACATTTGTAAAAATGTAATTTTTACAAATGTTCTGTGAAAATATTCCTTGAAAAGTGGGAAGATCATTTCATAAAAACAGTCTGAAAATTTGGCTGCTAACACTAATAATGTTTTTTACAGTCCTAGATCCAGCCTTTTTCCCCCAGACGGTACAATTCTTGTTTTTCAGTCTAGTGTAGCGTGTTCTTTCAGTTTGTGGTAGAAATTGGGTGTATGTGTAGACTTTAAATTGATGGACTTATACTATTTGATGCAAAGAGCTGTCAGAGTTATCAATTTCTGGCCAGTCACTAGGAACAAGTAGAGCCTTCTCTTTACCCTTGATAGCTGCTCGTGGTGGTGAATTAGAGCATCTTTGACTCTCATATACATCACTGTTTATTGTAGACAGTTCAGCCTGTATATACTTAAGGCACATTACTTTAGTATTTGACCCAGGGACAATAGGTGTAACTCTCTGGCAAAATACACCAAAAAGACAAATTCACAGTGTGCCCCTATTCTTTTAAATATGTTTGATTACCTAATACTATTTTTTAAAAAAGGAATATTTATAAATACATGTAAGAAGTCATGTTTTATTGTTTGGTCTGATTGATTTTGGTATGTTTTCATAAGGCACACTGATTAGCTTAATAAAAATTCTGCTCTCCAGTGACCTCTTTAGCTGCTTAAGCACAGAAATCAAAGGGCAAACTTTTTGTGAATGATGAACAACTATCTGACATGATTAAAGGGAAGAAATATGGATTAGTGTTATTTTAGATATTTTTGAAGGTTTCTCAGATGAAATAATAAATAAGATGAATTGTTCTGGCATTCAACAGACTAGAGAGTCTATATGCCATTGTTTTTAGCCTTTTACTTTGCCAATTAACAATATTTTCCATTGTCCATGTTCTGTATCTCACCCTAATTAAGAATTATTTGTTTTATTACAGATTTTTTTCCTATGGCTTTCCATTCATTGATTTAGCTTTAGCTAAATCTTTATATTTTTAAGATAGTATTGTTGTTTTTTACCCCTAGGTTCACATAGTTAGAGTATGGTGCTTGTGAAGTCAAAGTTCAGTTCAATTTAGCAAAGAGCTTAAGAATCTAATGTGTGCAGGAACACTGTGGTAGGTGCTAGGTAAGAAATAAAATTTGTCTTTCAACATGGAGTTTATAACTTAGTAAGTTCAAACTTAGTGTGGACCAGTTTTCTCTCTCTCATATAGAGAGAATTTTGGTTCTGTAACCATAAACTGCACTCCCAGTTTGGCTATCTATCTTGCCAATAGGAATCTTTGGTTATAAGAGAAAACTGCATAAAAATAAGTAGTCGTGATATGTAATAACTCATCACTTCTCTTGGAAAAAAGAACTGAAAGTAGATGTCTTTCTTAATTAATATATGTGTGTGCATATAAATGAAATACACATATATAATACATGCTCACATATATATTACTTATATACATATATAATATATATGGTACTAACAACCGTAACATTTGTAATAAGTTTTAAATCACTGGTCTCTGTTTTCTCTGATGTTTGTGGGTGTATAACACCTTAGGACATCATTGATTTAGTGTTTTCAATGGTACCCTAGTGGCCAGGAAGATTTAGTTGCTCTAAGTGCTTTAATTTGCAGTTAGGGAATATATAATTACAAGTTACCACCTTTCTTATTTAAAAAAATCCTATTCATATAATGCTGGAGGAATAAAACCCTCTGAGTTTAATTTTGTTTATGATATTCTTAAAACATTGAGCTTATTTTTTGTATGCTTTTACATAAATTTGTGAACCTTTGGGATGAAAAGCAAAAGAATAGCAGCATTCTTGCACAGAAATTAATGGCTACTTATTAAAAACAATGAGAAAAGCTAAAAACCTAACAACATTTCAGGAGGAAAACCTGCCAATTATTTAAAGTAATTTAACATTGAGAAGATTATTTTTTTCTGATAGCTAAAAATGATGATGGCAGGGATGGATTTGAATTTTTTTAAAGTCATAGGATTCTTTCTAGTTTCTCAACCATAAGTTTGAACTTTTAAGGAAATTAATTTCTTTAGATAGGAGTGTGAATAAAACCTGAAGGAAAAAAATAATGGAGAGAAAACTGTTCAATATGTTAAAAAAAAAATTAACAAGATTTTAATGAAGGGTTAGGGAAAAACTTCATTGAACTTCAGAGTGAAGATTTTTTTTCAATGAGTGAAGAAGAAGTTTCTAAAATAATTAATTCACGAAATCATTTCACTGGTTTGGATTAGCATCTTGCCATAACGGGATACTAAAAAACTATAAAGACATTATTTTACTAATTATCACAATACTGAAAGGTAGGTAGGTGATGAATGTAATTATGCTTATATTACAAATGAGGAAACACAGGCACAGAGAGAGAAGGCATCTGGTCACACAGCAAGGCAGATAGGTGCAGAAGCAGAGAAAAAAATAACATTCAGGACTCCATGCATCTGGTATCTATGACAGTCTCTGACTGCGTCACATTGAGTCTCCTGATCTTTGTAGTTTAAGGGACTTTTTTAGATAACTGAGTGAAATCTCCCCTTGACACATGCATATTATTACAAATTTCATAAATGTGTTTTCTTCAACATGCCTTCTTGATCATGAATTATGGCAATTAGAGTTATAGATATAATTTGTGGATCAACTAGATTTATAGTGTGAAGTAATAACTATGCTTGGGTAAATGAAGTTTACAGATTGATCAATTCTAAATTTAGAGCATATTCACTAAAAATAATTGTAGGCTTGAGTGATAGACTTTTTGATGTGAAGTGGATCTTCATTACCTGGAAAATTCTTTTTTTTTTTTTTAGTGAGGCAACTGGGGACAATGACTTGCCCAGAGTCACACATATTGTGTGTCTGAGGTCGGATTTGAACTTGAGTCCTCCTGACTGCAGGGCCGGTGCTCTATCCATTGTGCCACGTAGCTTCCCTGGAAAATTCTTTAATGGGAAATTTTGTGTTTTTGGAAAAAATCTTCAGAAGACTTTTGTTCAAATATAAAAGACTTGTTTTAACCAGAATAATTCAAGTGAATATTAAGAGACCTTGATTTCAGGAGTTTTAGCATGTAAATAGGGTTAAATCTTTGGCCAGTCATTAGACTGCTTTATTCATAGAGGGCATCTCAGTCAAGAAATGTGTATTTGAAATTCATAATATTGTTAAAGCAAGTTGTGGAGGCTAATTTTTGTGATTTCAATGCTCCAAACAAGAATACAAACCTAGTAATCTTAATTAAAAAGGCAAGGAATTTATTTTCAAGCTAGTTGACTCAAGAACCATCCAGTGCTCTCAGTTATCAAATAGAGTGATGATTTGTGGCACACAGAGTCCATCGGGTTTATTCTAACCTTTGGATGTGGACCTAAGAGGTCCAGTTCAAAGACATGTGGCTGAAACATTCTAGATTTTGTTGGACTTAATAAGTATCACTGCAAAAGATAATTTTACCTCATCTGTTAAAAGACATAATTTTGGGGTTTGTTAGCAGTTATTAGTGTTTTAGAACAATGTTAGTTTCTCTGTAAGACTCTAAAAGAAAGAATTCAACTGTGCAGTCATGTGGGGATAATGCACAAAGTTAATAATTCACCACAAATTTTTAGTTCTTAGTTTGCTTTTTGATGATTAATTAATGTATTTATTGGCTACCCCAACCCAGTCATTTTATATTTCAGGTATGCAAAGTAATTTTAATAGCATACCTAGCCAGTATCCTTGTCTTGATATCTCTTTAATCTAAATGCCACACTATCCCCTTCCCCTTGGTATTAACAGATGACTTTTAACTTGTCACTCTCCTCTTTATGAGTCTGCATACAGCACATGTCTATTTGCCTAGAAAAGCAAAACAAAAGTATAGAATGTATTCTAAAGGTTATTATCTATATTCTAAATATTGATTATCTGTAATACTATTCATTTCCATTAGTTCAGAGTTTAACTGTGTTTATTATACAAGAGATAATTCAATAGGAATAGTATGGAACCTGCTGCAGAATCATAAATAAGTCTAGTAACTGATATATACTGTAGAGAAAGATAATCTTTGCTAACTTATTAACATTTTCCATCCAATTTTTCTTCACATTTTGTAATTGGAGTCACACTTCCTATTTATGAAATAATCCAGGCAGCTAAGGTGGCGCAGTGGATAGAGCACCAGCCCTGAAATCAGGAGGACCCGAGTTCAAATCCGGCCTCAGACCGAACACTTGACACGTACTAGCTGTGTGACCCTGGGCAAGTCACTTAACCCCAGTTGCCTTTAAAAAAAAAAAGAAAAAGAACAACAAAAAAAGAGAAATAATCCACCCATTACTTTATTTTTTAATATATTTTATTATTTAATATACTAAACCATGCGTATGTGGAAAAATAAAAATCATAAATCAGTGATGAAGAGTTGTCTGAAACTATAGCGATAGAGTGAATATGTTAATAGTAATTTTTTTTTCCTTTTCTAAATGTATATTGCCATTTGACTTGTATGCATTATTTATTTATGTTAGACAGCTTAGGCTTAATATCCCTAAACAAAGAAAAGTCTTCCTTTTCCATAAATTTGATCGATCTTTTCAAGTCCTGTTGTCTCTGAGATTTATTTAATTCACCACACGGAGAGTAATTTTGCCAAAGTATGACCTGTAATCATTCTGTGCATGCTTCCTCAAAGAGCATATGGGGCTTTGTTTTTCTTTCAGTCTCCCATTTAAGCCAATTTAATTTGCCAGTTTCACTGATTATAATGAGATTAATGAATTGATATTCTGAATCTCAGAAGCTGTTGCAGAATGTCAGCCAAGTTATTAGAATAAATTTTGTTTCTTACCACTAGAGGGTAGTATTTCCAATTTAGACTTTTGATAATAAATTGAACTTGTCTTGTGGAGGTATATTGTGTGATAGTTATCTTGTGATAGCTCATTTTTTTGTCATGATAAAATAAATGCTCCAAAATCTTAATGATAATTACAATTCAGTGATATCCATTAAATCATTTTAGCATATTTATTATTATTTATTGATATTTCTTATTTTCCTTTAGCCCATCATTCCTATGTTTACACAAAATATTCGAGAAGGATTTAGGTCACTTGGAGGAACAAGTAAGACGTACATCATATTAATTTTCTCAGTTGAATATTTTAAAAGGTATCTTTTGTATTTGAAAATTGTTTCACAGTCACTTCAGAATTATTATGTTGTGTAATAATTGCTTTAAATTTAAATAGTAAGTGGTGATAGATATCAGTGTTTCTTGAGTTTCTAGATTTGACTAATGGCATATTACACATATTGAGGCATATCTGTTGTGGGCCTTGAAAATCTTGTCTCTAATTTCTCTTTGTTGTTGAGACTTGGAAGAAAAAATGTATATATATATATATATATATATATATATATATATAGGCATACATATATGTAAACACATTCATGTATATATGTGTACATATACATTTTATAAATGCAGATCAAGCTATCTATTGTGTAGTTTGACTTTTCAGCTTAATCCTTAGAAATTCCAAGTTTCAAATAAGAGCAGTGGGTTGCTATTGATTTCATATTTAGCTATTAAGAAAGTTGTTGTATGCTCCCATTTATCTGGAAAACTTAGGAGGGTGTTTCGTAAACACTATTTGCTTATTAACATGATATCTGTTTACTTTAAAACAGGGTTATTTAGGTGGCTTTATGAAAAATTCCGGTATCCATTTGCCCCAATTTATGGAGGTTTTCCAGTCAAATTACGCACATATTTAGGTGATCCCATTCCCTATGATCCAATGGTGACAGCAGAAGAACTAGCTGAGAAGGTAATTTACTTTTTAATTTTAAAAATTTCTTCATCTCTTATATTCTGTTGCTTATATAAAAGGAAAATGCTATAGTTTGTTCCTTCCCATTCTAGAAAAATGGTTCCTATACAATAGAGAAAGAAGCCCATATCTTTAAATTGCTTAGGAAAAAATACACAGATTAACTTGTGTTTGTTATTTTTAGATAAGAATATTTGAAGGAACTAGGTTCACTAAATAATGTTAGGACAAATGCCCAGTCTGAGAAACTCTTCCTTAGTTCAGTTCAACCAAAAAATTGTTTCGTCTATTATTTATCAGAATCTTTTCTAGGCACTGGGACTGAAAAGACAAAATGAAATAACCTCAGGTCTCTGGGAGCTTATGCTGAGGGGAGAGACCGTGCATACAAATAAGTAGAGTAAGGACAGATGAACTCTTAACAACTTGGGGGATCAGGGAAGATTTTATAAAGGACATAACACCTAAGCTGAGCCAAAAGAGGGATAAAGGAGTCTGAAAAGTGAAGATGAGAAGGGAGTACATTCTGGACAATGGGGGATGGTTTGTATGAATGTATGGAGATCAGATAGAATACCATGTTTGGGGAGTAGCTAGTAATCCAGTCCAGCTAGAATGTAGAATTTATGAAGGGTATGGTATAAAATAAGGATTCTAGATTTAGGTCTAGAAGGAGGCTTCCTTCCACCCTCACCACTACCACCACCACTACCACCACCACCACCAAGATCCCCTCCTTTGGCCCAATGTCAAAAACTCTAATGAGGTCATGGATAATGACTGAAAAGCGGGTGGAATTAGCATGCTAAGAAATCTTTGGTAACTTCTGAAAGAGCAGTTTCAGTAGAGTGAGAATCAAAAACCAAGTTTTAAGGGAAAGAAAAATGATGGGGTGGTAAGGAGGTGGAAACCGCAAATGAAGAAGATTATTTCTATGAGTTTGATAGAAGATTTGTCAGTGAATTTATCCCGAGTGGGGAAGCCCACTTGTCCAGAAATTTATCCTTTCCCCTGGAAACCTTGCCCTACTCCCTCACTCCTTGGGAAGATCACTTTTTAGGTTTTCCTGTATGTTCAGTGAAACATACTTATTTTTTTCACCCCAAGAAAAAAACTTATTTATCATAGCTTCCAAGATTCATGAGATGTTCCCCAAAGCAATGCGTTTTCTTTCCATCCTTTCCATCATGAGTCATTTGACTGGAATTCTTGTGTTTTGTAAAACGCTTTTCTATAATGAAGCTGGGTCTCTAGATTGTAAGAAATAAGAATGCTGATGAAAAGCACTTCCTCTTGAATGCCATGAGGCCATGGGGCATATTGGACTGGGCTGAGTGATAAGACCTCAGAAAAATAGTTTAGATCTATGAAATGTAAGAGCAGTACAATTAGGTAATTGTTAGATAGCTTTGAAGTGCTATGATTTATTGTACCTATGTTATTTTTAACTTAATTTTCCCTTGTAAAAAACAAACCACCACTACCACCTATCCTGGTTATTTCTCAGCTGTGAAGAGGAATCTGGAGGGGTAATGAATATTCCAGAGATTTGGGATATTTTGGTATCACTACAGACTAGTAAGGTGTTGTTTGGAACATTGGAATTTTGAGCAAGCAGAGTGGCAGCACGCTTGTGAAACTAGATGACTGGGTCAAGAAAAGCCAGAAGACACGGTGCAAAGATTCCCATACTTAGAATCAGGTAGAGCTGTATTGTGATCCCACCTCTGCCATGTAATTGGTTAAATGATGATGGAAAAACTGCTTACTTCTTTGAGTCTCAGTTGCCTCAGAATGACATCACTAGCACCTACTCCACAGGGATATTGGGTTCAAATGAAATTATGTAGGTAAAGCACTTGACAAACTAGCATCTTATTTACATATTAGTTATTACTATCATTCTTAAGAGTCATAGGATCATAGATTTAGAGTTTGAGGTGACTTCATTTAGTACAATACCTTCATTTTTGTAGTTATGGAATCTGAAATCTAGAGATATTAAATGATTTGTTTGGCCTCACATAGATGGTGAGTGGCAGAGCCAGAATTTAAAACCGAGGTCCTCTGACGTCAAATCCAGTGTTCTTTCCAATGTACTATACTGCCAAGTCCAGTGATTTGGATTCCTTGGCTAGTAAGGCAGTAGTGGGCTAGTGTTGTCACATATGTTAGAGAAGCTTTTTCTTTATATATACCTTTATTACAGTATAACATACATTTATTTGAATTCTCTTACAATCCTCTAACAAATGTATCCTCCCTTGGGATGTTAATGAAGTCTCTTTTAAACTCTTTTGTCTCCCTTCTGGGCTGTTCATTAAATTTAAGGGAGTCAGAACTAGTAAGAAATTCCCAGAACATACAGTCAAGGCAAATCATGATGTAAGATATTTTCAATTTAATTCAGTTCAGTAGGCATTTATTCACTGTCTACTCTGTGCAAAAGACATGAAACTAGAGGTCAAGAGACCTGAGTTCTTTTTCTGTCTTTGCCGCTTGATAAGTATATGATCTTGAGCACATTGCCACTCTAGATTTCGGTTTTATCATCTGTAAAAGGAAGGAGGTATGCTAGATGATGACTGCTAAAAGTCTCTTATCTCTAAAATTATCTTTTACCCATTTAAAACATTTTTAACATTATAACAAACCTTTTTTTTTGTGAGAAGAATATAAAGTTGAATCTCTTATGGATTAAAATTTATACATAAAATGAAACCTAATTAATTCAGATATAGATGGAAAAAAGCCTATCTGAATTAGTAAAATGTCTGAATTCTGAATGATAGTATATTATTAGTGATGAAATCTTCCACTTATTCCTATATTGACACCTCATCATAGCATAGAGGTTACCTTAAGTTTTTGAACTCTATGAAAACAGAGAACAAACTCTAGCATATCCTACCATCTTGGAAGTACTTAACTGCTTGTTGACTAACTGACTGAAAATATTAGTATGTGTCCATGTGGTGTATATATATGTATTTATCATCTGAGAACCAGCTCAACTAAATTCAGAGAGGCCTACTCCCAGAAGGTTTGCCTCCAGATGATGAACGTTTTTGTCCATAATACCTCATAAATATGATCAGTAAAGGTGTAGAAGAGTTGTGATCACATCACTAAAATATTGCCACACTAATGATGAAATTGTGAGTCTTTTGATATAGGAGAAAAGTTGAACTGTACTTTTACTTTTATAAAAACATGCAGTGAGGAGAAATAAGCTACCAACATGTTACCTAATAAGCATTCATAGGTGACTTGTTCAAGAAAGAATCATTTGTGATGAATATCACCAATTTTTGTTTGTAAATAGATATAACTAAAGTTGGAATGTATTTCAAAATACGCTTTTTTTTCTTAGTTAAATTTTCCCTTGTTTACTTGCTTATACTGTTTCTTTAGTAAGCCTTTGTTTCTAAGTTATACAAAAAGGAAACAGTGATCTAGGCTTGTGCTTAACTATTAAAATTTCAAATAATTACAGTCCAGAGTAATGAAGCTTTCCTACAGAGATTAAGCCTGTAGAAGAAAATGGGCTGTTATCTGGGGAGGCTTATGGCTGAGGAGTGAAAGGGTAGATATAAGATGAATCTACAAAGGTTTTATTGGAATCTAATTGTGGAGAGCCTTTGAAACCAAGCCAGGGAACTTGGACTTATTTCACTAGGCTACAGGAAAACATGGGAAAGACTTTAGCCCCAGTGCATTCAGAAGATGGCAGCATGCTGGCAACAGCAGAATGAAGGTTGGTAAGAGTTCACGTGAGAACCCAGAGTAGGGTGGTGATAGTAGTGGTAATAATGGAAAGGGAAAGAAGAGAACGAGAGTGAAAGGTTTTGCAGAAGTAGAATTGAGAGGATTCTGTATTGGAACATCTCTCACTTTATTCCAACCTCATTTTAGCCTTCATTACTTTTAGAGTAGTTTCTGTTTGGTCTCTCTGCTTCCAGTCTCTCATCCTTTAATTTCTCTAGCATCTTGTTATCAGATTATCATTATTATTATTATTCTTTAACATTTCTAATTTTTGTCTGTTTTCAGATGCTTTTTTTTCCAAGGTTTACAAAGCACTTTCCTCACAGTAGCACAATATTAGTGTAAATATCATAATTCTTATTTTACAGATGAGGAAAGTAAGGTAACAGGAAATTAAGTAACTTTCCTAAGGTCTCATAGAGGGTGTGAGAGTTAGAACTGGAGCCTAGTTCATCAGCTTCTTCTCCTTTCCCCTTCCCTCTCCTCACTGGCTTCCAACACCATACCAAAGATCCCACTCTATCAGCAGGTGGCCTCACCTTTTACTTTAGTGAGAAAGTGAAGGCCTCCTCCTCTTCATACCTCAAAATCCCTTTATATCGTTTATCTTTTTTTTTTTTTTTGGTGAGGCAATTGGGATTAAGTGATTTGCCCAGTATTACACAGCTAGTGAGTGTTATGTGTCTGAGGCTAGATTTAAACTCAGGTCCTCCTGACCCAGGACTGGTGCTGCATCCACTGTGCCACCTAGCTGCCCCTTATCTATCTTTTTTGCTGCAGTCACTGAGGTCTGTGATATCATTGATTCTATCTATAGTTCTATTTATAAGAAAGACTGGAGAGGAAAGCAAGCTGAGGCAAAAAGATGTGAAAGAATATTATATATGATAGTAGTCCAGATATTTGGAAACAAAACACTGTCTTGAAGTGGTGTTAGAGTACATGTGCAGATTCATTACCTCAGAAGATATATTGGGACTATATATATATAGATTTGGGAGTCATCTGCTTGGGAATGGAAGTTAAAGCCATAGGAACAAAAAACAATTGTTGGGGAGAGGATAGGGCCTAGTAAATGGAACAAGAGGGGAGTTTTTAGGGGTATGAGGAGTCCCATAAGAGTGAGAAAGTAAGGGGGAAGTGAAAGCATGGAGTGTAGGCATTTTTTTTCCATGTTTATCAGTGAAAGGGAGGAGAGAGTTGTTATCTAGCTACTGTTTCATCTCTATTCTCTTCTTGGCGCATTCCTAGTTTTTTCATCTGGTCAGCTAAGTGGCACAGTGGATAGAAGACTGGACCTGGAATTAGGAAGAGCTGAGTTTAAATCTGATTTCAGACACTAGGCAAATCATTTAACCTCTTTCTGCCTCCATTTCCTCATCTCAAATAGGGATAATGCCATCTACCTTCTAAAGTTGCTAGGAGGACAAGAATGAAATACTGTTTATAAAGAATTTTGCCAGCCTTCAAATGCTATCTAAATCCTAGTGAATTAGCTAACTATTTGTAGTGGTAGGTAGCAGTAGTAGTAGTAGTTGTTTTAGTGGTAGTAATTGTTATTAAAGTTTCTAGTAGTAGTATACACGTCTCAAAGGCCATCCCTATTTCTCCATCTTTCCCTTTTACTCCTTAAGTTGGGCATCCTCTGGGGATCTCTCCTAAGGATGTGTTACTCCATTACTTTAAAACCTGAAAAGTCTGTCTGTTGGGAGCCAGTTGTACATAATACATGCTTAATAAAGTCTTGCTAAATTGGATTGAAAAAAGTGTATGTTTCTAGTTTTAAAAGAGTGAGTGCTTTCATTAGCTCCCAGGAAATGTTGATGTATGCTGAGTAAAGGTGAACATCAGATGCTCATTTTAATACTAATGAACTTCTGGATTATATTTCAGATATATTGAGTTGTGCTTTTATGTTTTCATGACTATCATGGATTTAATGTGAATCTGTTTTATTGACATGTGCATCACACTTCCTAATTTACACTTCCACCACTGTAACTTAATTAAGGCATGTCACTCATAAAATTTCCATTAAACTGTCTAGATTTAGAAGCAATAAAGCAAAATATGTCAAGTTATTCTTCTGTTTTGGAGCAAGATAAAATTTCCATCTCAGTGTTGTATCTACAGAGATAATTGTTTAGAGAGTGATATTAAAATAAAATGCTTTGGAATCTATTCGTCATTCAAAATGACATATTTGTTCTTTCCATTTACTAACTAGAAATTTCCCTACCACTTTTAAAAAAAATTGTTTCAGGTTAATTTTTTAAAGCTATTCTTTGTAAAAACTCTTAAAAGAAAATGATTATTGTGCATTTTCTTATGGAGGGAAATATATGATGTATATAAAGACTTATAAGAATAACTGCTTTTATTTTCTTAATAGACAAAGAATGCAGTTCAAGAGCTGATAGATAGACACCAAAGAATACCAGGAAACATCATGAGTGCTCTGTTGGAACGTTTTCACAAAAAACAAGAGGCCAACTAGATTTTTTAAAAAATGCTAATATATATTTGAATCCATCATTATTATATGCTAAATTTTTAAGTTGCTGTAGTTATTATTGTTTTAAAAATCATGTTAAAAAGCCATTTTTACAAAACCTATTTGTTAAAAATTGTGTTGTCTTAAAGACCTCAGTTTTGCATTGAGTAGTGTCAAATTCATATTGTAAGCAACTTATCAAATGCCTAATAATTCAGAACATTATAATACTGTTGTATTTATAAATCTCTAATAAGGCATTGAAAAATACATGGATTAAAATTAAGTTACTGAGTAATATTGAATTTGATGAAATGACCATTCCTAAGTATGTGTGTAATTTCTACATTTTTATTGCACTAAGCTAATTTTGAGAAGCGGTAAGGCCTCTTGGTCTAAATACAGGTACTAAAGTTATAGACATATTCTATTTCTTTATCTCCCTCTGATTCAGTATGTGACTTTGGACAAGTCCTTAATTTTTCAGTGCCTCAGTTTTTCCATTTTTGCCATGGACATAATACTTTTTCTATAAATGATTATAGTGAGGAATAATTAATTCTTCTGAAATGCTGTATTTGTATTCTGTAATTACTGTAGAACATGAAATAAATTAACTTATTCATTCTTATATCTTTACTTAACAGGATCTAATCCTTAGTTTCATTATAAATATTTAAAAAGTTTCTCTAGGCATAAAGTCCAAGTTGCCATTCAAAAACTTTTTAAAATGTAATGGTGTTCTTTAAATAAATGAAAAAGAAACTGGGAAATCTAAGCTTTTTCTAACTATTACCTTTTAGTATTTATTGTATTTCTTTTAAAAGTCACAAAAAACACACAAACATGTGTTGTACACTAGGTCAACCCTGTAACAGGGTATTTAATAGCAAAATGGTAAAATCACAGTCAGGTGCAACATTTTGTAAATTTAGAGGTCGGTTTCAAATAAGTAAAGATAGAACTAACAATATCTGTCTTTTTGCACAGTTATAAGACTTGTTCATTTTTAACATTTAAGCAATAAAATGCTTGATAGTTTGAATAGAACATACTTGAATAATCAATGCACTCCAAAAAAAATCAGCTTCTAGATTTGTGGTCTCCTTGAAACCTTAATTTAAAGAGTATTCAAACAAAGTATAAAAAATCAAGTGCAGTATCACTTCTTTTTAGATGTTAATTGTACTTCTTATTTGTATAGATTTTATATACAAGTCTATATTTATGTCTTATGTATTATATATAAAAATGATCCAACTTAAAAATAAAGCTGAAATTCCAACAAGTGTTTCTACTCTGTCATTCAATTCTTTTTGCACTAGGGGTTTGAACAGAATTACTATAGTTTGGGTGCTAGATGGTGCAGTGCATAGAATGCTGGGCCTAAAATCAGAAAGACTTATCATCATGAGTTTAGATCTGGCCTCAGATGCCCTCGACAAGTCACTTAACTCTGTTTGCCTAAGTTCATTATCTGTAAAATGAGCTGGAGGGAAAAATGGCAAACCACTCTGGTATCTTCGCCAAGAAAACCACAAATAGGGCCACAAAGAATAGGACATGACTGAACAATTATAGATTTACTTTAATTTTTATATTCAATACTGATAATTGTATTACTTTTTTTTGCTTTGGCTCTATCTTTAAGCCAGAAGGTAACAAAATTTCCATTCCTATATGATAAAATATACATTTAATTTTAGAAAAAAACCTCATTACTAATAGCTTTTGTGTTGTATCCAACCGTGAGCCAAATCTGGCCCATGCTCAATAAATTTTTTTTTATTAAGTAGTTAAATTATTTCCAGTAAAGAAGGAGGAAGATGGCACTATTTTGGGGGCTTTAAGGTAAAGAGTAAAATATTCATTCATCATGTAGCTGAAGCTATTTCTATTGTATGTAAATTTTATCTGTTTGTGCCTTTTGTGCCATTTTTATATTTCTACTGTAATTAGGATCACAGATTCTTTGGAAATAGACCTGGTAGTGGTATTGATTGTGGTGGAATACTACTGTACTATAAGAAATGATGAGCTCAATGATCTTTGAAAAACATGGAAAGATTTGCACAAAATAGTGAAAGGTGAAATGAGCAGAACCAGGAATGTTCTCTTGCATACATTGTTGTATACACTAACAGCAATATTGTTTTAAGAAGAGCTTTGAGCAACCAAGTTATTTTGGCTATTAAAAATACCCAAATTAACCAAAAAAGACATATGAAGATGCTATCTGTGTCCAGAGAAAGAACTAATAAAAGTATGTACAGAAGAATTTTGTATGTGTGTGTATGTATATATATATGTATTTGTGTGTGTATAAATATATATACATATATTTATACACACATACATACATACACGCACACCAGTTTGTGTCTGATAGTGGCCATCTCGGGTGGAGGAGGGGAGACAAGAAAAAAATTACACGATAACTGTTGTATATTTAAAAAGAATAGCAAGTTGTACATAGATTTGCAGGTTCATGTGCAGTCAATTTTTTTTATTATACTATGTTATGGAAATGCCTGTTTTATTCCATAAATTAAAAATAAAATAAATTTTAAAAAGAATCGTAGATTATTGTAATTTAAAGGGACCTTAGAGCTATCTGATCCAACCTGTACTTGAACAAGACTTCTTTCTAAAATATACTCAGCACTGAAGATTTTAATTTGTTCCCACATCTTACCAAGAGTAGACTCAAAAATTTCCTCGATTCTAACTTAGTTTTTTAATGCATTTTTCAGAAAGTAGAATGCAATTGAAAAGAATGAATGGGAACCAAAGTATGAGGCACTATGGTTGCAAGTCATGTTAGAGTAGCCTTGTTTCCTTTTTGGACATGGTGACTAGATTTAGGAAGTATGGTATAATGAATTGAGTCAGGAAGACCTGGACCGGACTCCCACCTCCAACACTTAGATGAATGACTTTATATAAGTTGCTTCCCTTTTCTAAAGGGAACTTGAGATTTTTCTGTAAAAATATGGAAAATATGTGAAATGCCTAAAATATAAGATTATTGTGATTGTTGTGAAATATTGTATGTAAGGTGCTCTGTAATCTTTTAAGTGCTATATAAATAATAACAATTATCAGGGAAATGTATTAGTAAATGGCCAGTGTGTATGTATATGTATGTATGTATATATACATACATACATCAGTTAAGCGTACAAAATTGTATTTATGGTGATCTTTGATGGGCTTTCTAAACTCCTAAATTTTATGATTCTCTGAAGGGTCTCAGAACCAAATGAGACTCTGTGTGTGTGTGTGTGTGTGTGTGTGTGTGTGTGTGTGTGTGTGTGTGTGTGTGTTTTCATACCACAGGTTTCACATGACCCTGGAAACTCCCAGAATCAAAGAATTTCAGAATAGGAAACTACTTCAGAAGTCATTTTTCCAGCTTGCCCCTAACCAAGAATCTACAACATATATGACAGCAGATCTCCAGTGAGGGGGAATCTACTACCATCTGGGCAGCCCACTCTACTTTTGGATTGAGCCAGTTGTGAGGAAGTTTGTCCTTGTATCAAGGTTTAATCTTCCTCTTTGCAACTGAGACCAATGCATTCCTGAATGTTACCCTCTGAGGACAAACAAAGGAAATCCAGTCTATCTTCTTTGTGATAGCTCTTCAAATACTTAAATATTTAAGAAGGTCATTTGTGAAATGGCACCTGGATCTGAACCCCATATTGACTTTGGCAGAGTGCAATGAGACTGTCATCTTATCTTTGGATGCTGTGCCTCTCAATATGACCTAAAATCCCATTAGCTATTTTTGGTGGCCCATAATGCTTGACTTAATAATAAGCTTGTAGCTTACTAAAAGCCCCAGATCTTTTTCAGACAAACTGCTATTTAGCTGCACCTCCTTCATCTTGTATTTCTGAAGCTGATTTTTTTGATCCTTAGGAAATTTCATCTTATTTGGTGAAGTCCAGTGCTAATCCTATGTTCTAGCCTGTGAAGATCCTGATTCTGTCTTATGATGTGGTCATCAATTCCAACTTTGTGTCATCTGTAAATCTGATAAACATGTCATTTATCCTTTTAATAGAATTATTGATTGAATTGTTAATATTAGACAAGGACAGATACCTGGAGTGTTCTGCCAGAGGCAGCCTTATAAATTTACATGGAATCATTAATGAGCAATCTCTGAGTCCATCCATTCAATCAGTTCTGAATCTATTTAAATTATACAGTTCTCTCTTCCACATTGCAAACTTCACCATAGCGGTTTTGATATATCGAGAGTTGGCATAAGAAATTAAATGGGAATTTTTTGGGAGTTTTGGAAGCTGCAGACAACACATGCAGGCCAGCAGAGGACACAAAACCTGTGACCAAATACTTAACACATATTTTACAATAAGGTACTGTAAACACTGTATAAAAGAAAAAAAAAGTTCAAACTTTCATTGGTGCAAAGGAAAAGCCAAAAAAATTTACACAGATTATCAAGGTTACTAGATAATTGTCTAGTAAACAGCTATTTTTTCCCACAAAAATATTGGAAGGCTTCATCAAATTTTTACTAGAATCCAGGTAAATTGTATCTATAGCATTCTCTTTACCTACCAGTTAAGTGTCCTTGTCAAACAAGGAAACAAGATTAGTCTGGTGCAGGGATGGGGAACCTACAGCCTTGAGGCCCCATGCGGCCTTCCAGGTCCTTGGATGCAGCTTTTTGACTGAGTCCAAGTTTTACAGAACAAATCATTTTATTAAGGGGATTTGTTCTGTGAAGTTTGGATTCAGTCAAAGGGCTGCACTTGAGGACATAAGGGGCCACATGTGGCCTCGAGGCTGAAGGTTCCCCACCCCTGGTCTGGTGTGACCTGTTCTTTATAAAGCTGTAGTGACTCTGTAATCACTGCTTCCCTTTCTAGATGTTCACTAACATCCCTTTGTTAGCTGTAAGATATTCTAAGAAAGACTTGAAAATTTAGGCCAAGATGGTGGAGTAAGAGGTAAGTTGCGCTTATCCTCCCATATTAACCTCTGAAAACCCAGAAAATATCATCAAAAGAAAAGTCCTGGAACAGCTGAACCAGAAGAAAGATGAGGTGCAGCAGTCCTGCAGCCCAGGTAGCTTGAGGGATTAATGGGAACGGCCCCTCTTGCCCTGGGGGAAGGGAAGCAGTACAGAACGGGAGGCATCCCACCAAGCTAGTGGAAAGCCCCACCTCAGCATACCAGAAGGAGATCCTGAAACTCAGGTGGTGGAGCAGGCAGACAACAACATCTGGACCCCTGAGTGCCTCAGTGAGGGCTGGGGAACCAGTGGAAACTAGCTTGGAAAACCACCAGGTACCTCAGCATTCTACAGCAACCAGCTCTCCCAGTGCCTCAGCAAAAATAAGGGAAGCAGCACTACAGGCAGATAAGCACCCTTCAACATCCATCTGAAAGGAGCTGAAGAAAGTAAAAGGAAAGAAAAAGCAGACAACCTGGACTTGCCCTAGTGTTCCAGCCTTGCTGATTCCAGCCCATCACCAGGCCTACAGGCCTCCAACTGCCAACATCAGAAGCCCCAGCATACAAAGCCAGTGACCAGACCTAGCCTCCCAACACAAGAAGCTTGGGTCCATGCCCTCTGCTCCCCAGCAGGACAGCTCAATCTCTTTAAAGGCCAAGAAATAAGCAAACACCATGAGCAAAAAGAAACATACCATAGATTCATATTGTGAGAGCAGTGAAAATCAAGGCAGAAATTTTGAAGAGGACAACATTGTCAACAAACCCACATGTAGAACCACAAAAGGGAATATGAACTGGTCTGAAGCCCAAAAAGCCTTCTTAGAAGAGCTCAAGAAGGATTTTAAAAGTCAAATGAGAGGGGTAGAAGAAAAAATGAGAGGTATACAAGAGAGAGTCAATAGCCTGGAAAAAAAAAGGACAAAAATTAACTGTAGAAAATAAGTCCTTAAAAAATACAGTTGGCCAACTGGAAAAAAAAAAGTACACTGAGGAAAACAAGTCCCCAAAAAATACAATTGGCCAACTGGAAAAAAAAAAAAAAGTACACTGAAGAAAAGTCACTAAAAAATACAATTGGCCAACTGGGGGAAAAAAAACATACACTGAAGAAAACAACTCCTTAAAAAGCAGAATTGGCCCAATGGAAAAGGAGGCATAAAAACTCACTGAGGAGAGCAGTTCCTTAAAAAATACAATTGGACAAATGGGGAAGGAGGTACAAAACCTAATAGAAGAAAGCAATTTATTAAAAATTAGAATGGGGCAAATGGAAGCTAATGACTCTATGAGAGAGCAAGAATCAGT